AGATGCAACACGGCTCGGGCAGGCTGTGCTGGAGTGGGGTGCGGGAGCTGGCCTGGTGGTGGGACCCTGTCTGTGTTCGGATGGTGCGCGACATCGCGGCAGGATGCCTCGCGTCCCGATAAGATGCAACACGACGCGGGCAGGCTGTGCTGGGGTGGGGTGCGGGAGCTGGCCTGGTGATGGGACCCCGTTCGGGTTAGACCCAGCACAGTTACGAGATAAGACGGAACACTGTGACGGTGGAGTTCCGTGTGCAGCTGAGGCGCGACACGGCGGCTGTGTTCCTTGTTCAGCCGCTGTGTTTCGACTGATGGTGTTCAAATGACTGACTGACGGTGTTCAGATGACTGACTGACGGTGTCCAGGTGAGGGTTGACACGTGACACTCCTTACTGCGTTTTCAAGTGTTACATATGGACAGCACATGGCGTTTTTGCTGGTTTTTTTTAAACAATTTTGAGTAGGTTTTCAAACGGGATCCTGAACGGTGCTTTAAATGGCGTTTGCTGTTGATGTTTTTCTGCCCAAAATCGCACATTTTTCAACATTGTAGCTCATTCATGAAGGTAACTTGATGTGAACGATTCGGTGAAGAAATCGTTATCGCTCTTCATAAAAATAGTAGAGTATAAAATGTGAAAAATTTGCTTGATACCTCCCGCACCATGTCAAAGTGACGTACCAATACTGGCCAATAGTAGATATGTTTTGGTACGTGTGGTTCCCGATCATTTTCAATGTGCAAGCATGCTTATTTGGGTGTGCGGTTTGTTAATGGATCCTGCATGTTGCCTTGACCGGATGGTGACACACAGAGCTCAGGTCATCCTGGGCGAACTCACAGCAGGGTAGCAGGCTGACCTGAGCTACCGGGGTTGGGTTCCCTAGCTTAGTCCTTTTCTCATATATTACATTTTGCTACCAATCCACAGTTTATGTTATGAGCTAACGGTAGCTGAATCCAAAGCGAGAGAAATGCTTGGTGACGTCGCAGTGGCCCCGCGCAAGCAAACGCTGGGTCTTTTTCTGTGGTGGTTTTAGAACTTGTTTCATGTGTCGATGCATGCCGCCCGTATAATGGCGATGAGTCACGGTCCGTGTCATATTTGTCACTAGTTCATGGCAGGTCAGTTAAATCTCCAGATCGTCGCACGGCACGCCATTCAAATGCACATGTCGTGCATGTCACGCCATGTCGCACATGTAGATACGCTGTAGACATCACACGATGTCGTTTGTAGGAGAGTCGTCATTATAACAGAGAATGCCGTCGCTGGCGCCATGCTTCAAGGAAGGGGAAATGCCCTTCTGAACACCTTTTGTGTGCTGTTTTTTCGAGTCTGGTGTATTTTATGTAACAGTAGTGGCCTGCGCCCATCGAAACGGACCCATAAAACATGTCCTTCCATTGAGGTTAAACTGTATTTGGGCTCGTGGCTCAACATGGCTTTAGTTGAGTCGTAATCCAAAAATAAGCGGTTTGTTCGTGTCATGAGTTCCGATGCTCAGAAGAAGAGATCTTCAATATGCCTGCCTTCAGTGAAATGACATCAAGCGATCATTGGAATAGTCGCGTATTGCGAAGACATGCGTAGAAGCGAGGCCCCTGTCCTCGTTCTTCGAGGTAGCTGGATAATAATAGGTAGTCCATGGCTTAAGGTCGCATTACAAAGTATCGTTAGCAAAAAATCGCGACACGTAAATACTGTATCAAAACATCACGTGCGATAAAGATTCCATGGATGTAGACCGTATCGCACATCGCATGGAATAAGAAGCGTGGAGGATAAACGTCGCAATCATATAAATTATGCTGGATACTTAAAGATCGCTATCAGAAGAGATTGTGCGTGATGAGGAACATGCGAGATAAGGTTAGTTGAGCAAAGGTTCGTACGAGAAATAAGCAATCCGGAGAAAAGATCGCATGGCCTAATTTGTTTCCTGGGTGCAACTTTGCAGGAAGGCACAACTCCTAGCCAACGCCGGGCAGAAACGACGGCGCCTAAGCAGGCGGGGGTGGACGGGCGCCCGGCCAGGCGTTGGCGCTGGCTGGAAATACAGCCGCCACTTAACGCTGCATTCGGCACCTCCGCTCCAGAGGTATCCTCCCAGTGACGGAGCGTTGACAGAAATTATGAGATGCACCAAGGTCTTCAAAGGCCAGTTTTCTTGACACATATTTAGAAAACTCCAGATGATGGATTTAATTATGCAGCCTGACACCGGATTTGCCAGATATTGTCCACCTTTCTGGCCCAGTCCCAGGGACATTTCGCACGTTTGGGCCACTGGGTTCAGAAATAAATGAGCGGAGGAGAAGGGAGAGGGCGGAGATTTCGAGCTTCCACAACTTAATATGCAACTGCGCTCGATGCTGCCTCTGTCACTTTTGAACAGTGACAGGCCGGTTTCTTTCGCTTGGTGCAGGTGCTGGCATGTTTATTACCTCAGGGCTCTTAGATATTTACCAGATATGATGATACCATGTTTCGCCACACACTGCAACATCTTTTCGCTGACGCCCTTCATCTCCTGCGATCTTAAGCCTACACCTTTGTTTCGCAACCTGTCGATTGACACTACTTACCATCCATTGTTATATAATCTGTCCTGGACGATATTCATCGAATACGCTCTTTTATTTACTTTTTGCGAACCAGCTTTCCCTACAATCTTTTACAAGATTGTAATTATCCATAACACATTTTTTCGGGCGATATTCGCACATGTCATGTTTTGCTTTCGATTTTCAATACACGATTCTTGCGTAGCATAGCCTGTCATGTCATCTTCTGTCCCACGCTATATGTTCCGAAGTTTTTTTGCAGACGGCTTCTTCCCTACGACGCATTGTCCATCCAACACAACAAAAGGACTTTCGCCGTACTTTAGCTGCAGTCAGGATATGAGCGCGGAAGTAAGGATACGTTGGTGCGTTATTGAATTGCCTCTCAATGGCAGCCCGCCTAGAATGGAGGGCAAAGGAGATGACAGCTGGAAGAGCAGGACTAGAGCGCAGTCTAAGAGCAGGACATATCGTGTTTGTCTCATGTATGGCGTGTTTTTGTCGCACACTGGAGCGACCGTGTCGCAGCATTGTCGCAGCATCGCACCAAACATAAAAAAGATTTCTCCACAGCCCTGTCTGGCGCAAGAGGCGGAAACAGAGTTGTTCGTTGAGCTGGAATGGCGCCACAGATCGCTGGGCACTGGCTTTCAGCAACACTCGTTTGCTCTGAACACAAGACCATCAATGCAAGTCATTCCAGTAAGATTGCGCAAGAGTGAAAACCGCGGGGCCATAAACTGCTTTGCATGATTATTGAATAATGTTAGTCTATGTTTGCCTCACGATTCTTTAGTGTTAACAGTAAAATGCATTGACTTTCTGGACATTTTCAAAGCTGCAAGTTTAATCCAATGTTATCGTTAATCGCCAACTGGAACATTCCCTCGTCAAGTACGCCGCGAACATGGCCAGTCTCGCCAACATCGCTTCGTCGTTTTCAATGCTGCAGTAGCTCTACTTGTAACTGAAGAAAAAATGCAACGCAATGCATCTTGTAATGCATAATACTTACATAACCGGTATCTGTGAGCAAAACAACGCTCTGTTTAGCTGGTCAATCAGCTAAAAATGTTGTTGATGCGGTACAGTAGGATGGAAGCTTTGTGATCATGCTTGTGTACAACCACAATTTCCTACCTTGCTGTCCTCTCGGCAAAGTAAAGGAATGCGACAGTGAAGCGTGAACATTTACATCACAGACCAGGTGACTGCTAAGTGGATTTCCTTTATTGAGAAATGGCTTCGTTTCACCAATTAGAAACATTCAGCATCGCACACAAAGCTCGAGTCGCACTGCATGACATTGTGCCGCAGCCTAGTACGGAGAGAAGAGAGAGAATACCTGTCGTTCTATCGGATGACTGGTAGGACATGGCGACCATCATGTCGTTAGAGTCCTAGCCCAATGAGATCCTGAGCCCACCGTCTGCAGACTGGCAAACCTGGCAACCGCCACTGACGAAGTGCCCCTGTCAGAAACAGGCACCTGGTGTCTGATGCAGTTCGACGTGTGGCGTCATGATCACTGACGAAGTGCCCCTGTCAGAAACAGACGCCTGGTGTCTGATGCAGTCCGTCGTGTGGAGTCGCGATCACCGACGGAAAAGGCACGCCCATTTCTTAAAACTGACGCGGCGGGAAGATACTGTAAGTTCATTCGTCAGTCTGTACTGACGTCATTGCACCATGGCGTGACTCTGAGGGAATGGGAAAATTCAGTAAGGCGATGGAAACTTCCTTTGATGCGTGACCAGCCGTTCCCTAATCAAAAGCAGCTGTTTGTGCACTAAGACTGCCGCAATGATGATCTTTCAGCGCTAACAGCCGTGGGCTTGGTGACCTTCCATAGAAATTAATATGACCGCTGCAACGTCCACCTCCCAACCCAGTCCTACGCTTTCAGGTTGTGAGTTAAGACACATAAATTTAGGTACCCGTATGCCTGTGTAAGCAGTCGTTGCTTGAGTCTTTGGCAGCGCCATCTTGCGGTTTCATCAAAGCATAAGATGGAGAAGGGTGGCGGTACCCCTGTGGGAACACGCCAAAGTTCGGATTATGTGCTCTGCCCATCTGCTGTGCGACGCCCCTTCGCTCACCATGCACCTTAAGAGGCCTGTCTCATGCGACACCATGATCAAGGTCCGACTACTGCACTGACTAAATGCAGCCAAACTTGAAATGGGAGGTGTGATAAAAGGTCATATCAGGTCAGGGTCGTGTCGGGCTGGGGCTGACCACTGGACCTGCAATGTGGAGCCGCAAGACGCTGCGACGTTGGTTCCGACAGCAGCAGTCGGCATTCATAGCAGCTGACGACAGAGATTCCCCCAGTGCCGTCCGATGCCTTCTGTCAGAGTTGGTCTGCGCATGCGCACCAATACATCTTTCGCGTAGCGCGACCTTGTTTCGCAGTGCTGCCGGTGACGTGCTGGCCACGCGGCGCGTGTTCTGACAGCGTCCCTGTGACAGCTGTCACCTCGCATCAAGGTACGCCCGAAACAAGGCGACACCGCTGGTGAGCGTTCGCATATGCTGACGCAGCCTAAGATGCAGCTCGTGCGCCGCTGAGGCATGATCGGAGCGATCAGCCCAGCGCACCACGCGCGCCTCCGATGCCCTTCGTCAGATTTCGCTCGCAGATTTTTCACTCACTTCAGGTTGCTGTCGGAAGATACGGGGCGAGACGGAAAGTAAAGTTCTATCAAAAAAGAAAAGAAAAGAAATGGGACTGCTCTGAGCGACGGTAGTTGGATTTATTCAGCGATTTATTTTATCCTCCGATGTTAGCGCCTGTCACTTGTCCCGTCTGTGCTGACGAGAGACAAAAAAAGCTTCATGTAGGCTGGAGACATCCAAAGGCGCGTCAAGCCACGAACACTGATTTAATTTCCACAGCATAAATCGTATGCTCTACAGAAATGCTTCTTGCAGACATAAAACTCCATTTCTCATTGTTTCATCGCGGGGCTGATAGCCTTTCTGCTGCAATTATGCAAGCAAACTGCTACCCGAGGCGATAAACCACCATGGCGATTTTCAAAATCTAAGATAATAACGCATACCAAGACGTCAACGTCAAGTCAACGAAATCGTCGGGCGTGTTCTTAACTTCATAGGATGCTTCATCAGAGCGCATATTCGGCCGACTTTTGGTTGTGATACGACTGGTGCATGAAGCGCACGCGCATGAAGCCTGGCCTGGCTTCGGGCGGTACGCCGTTCGGGGTGTTTTGCGACCACATGAAACAACGACCGTCTAACCGATATGTAGGGGCATGACCGCCTCCACAGGGCACATCGCTTTCACCGATCGTCCGCCGGCCGTGCCCCGTGCCGGCGCTCCACCCGACAGCGCCGCCCGCATCGCCGCGCTGGTCTGTCGTGCGCCCGCCGCGTCTGACGGTTCTGGGCGGCTGTGCTGGCAGCGAGTTCCCGGCCTGGCTGTACCAGCAGAACGTGTCGCTGCTCAGCCTGGTGCCGCCCCCCATGGCCCCCGCCGTGCTGCCGCACTGGTACCAGTTCCCGGCCCCGCAGCCCGGCTGGCACACCGCCATCGGCGTGATGTACATCATCATCGGTGAGCTCGGTGGCGATCGACGCGTGTCGGTGGCGTAGTAGTTAGGCTGCGTGTATGGGAAACCATGAGTACGGGGTTCGATTCCCCGCGGTGCCGGACGTTCTTGTCAGGGTGAGAGGCAGGTGGGTAGTCCCAGCAACTGAGCACGTCGCAGCGTCCCATGAGTGCGGGCTTCGATTCCCCGCGGTGCCTGTCGTTCTTGTCAGGGTGAGAGGCAGGCGGGTACTTCCAGCAACTGAGCACGTCGCAGCGCCCCAATCAAGGCAACGGAGGCGCCCATCGACGGCGGAACATCGCAGACGTGTACTGAGGGCTTGGGAGGGATGTAAAGGTGCGGTGTGTGTGGGAAGGGGGGGGGGGTCATGGAGATGTCGTAGTCATGTTTTAGTGTTGTCGAAGAGGGCGGAGGTGCCGGAGAGGCGACAGCCAGAATGTAAGTGGTCGGATGGACATCGCCGATTTACATCAATGCCAGGGGTATCAAACAAATGTCAAGGAGGTATTACGTGGGAGGTATTGCACTGGTGTATATCAAGCGCCAAGACCTTGTAAACTGCAAGAAGGTATTAGACCGACCAAAATGACGATGACGGAGGCTAATGACGGCAAGATCAGGGAGATGAAAACATGCTCACTCACTATCATGTGACATGTCAATCCACGCAATGGCCAGGGCCATTAGCAGCCCCTGGTGGAAAGCAGGGCCGTTGAAACGGGTGAGTTTGGAAGGGAGCTGAACCCCGGACAAACCCAAGCAATCAGTCGATTTCAGCACGTCGCCTGGAACCTCTTGACACAGGCGTCGAGACGACGGCGGAGCGATGGCATGCCGGCAGCCGAGCGTCAACTGCCAGTTGGCACGGCAATGGGACTGGGCGTTAATGCGACGTGAGATTGTCTTCAGTTGCACGTGGTTGGCCACAGAGATTGCCACTACAGAGTTCCATTGAGGCGTTCGCGTCCGAGCCAGCGAGAGACGGATAGCCGCAGAGAGATGGAATAATCGGGCTATTTGGAGGGGGCTGTGGCCGCACTAGTGAGAGAGAGAGAGAGAGAGAGAGAGAGAGAGAGAGAGAGAGAGAGAGAGAGAGAGAGAGAGAGAGAGAGAGAGAGAGAGAGAGAGAGAGAGAGAGAGGGAGGGAGAGCCACCAGTCCCCGTCTCGGACTCCCATGATCTGACGGCTGCCGTCGGAGCGCAGCAGGAGCGGCGCCGCTCGCGCCAGCGCGCGGCGTCGCAGGTGCCTGCCGCGTTCGCCGCCTGTCGGTGTGTCGAGCGGGACTCCGCACCCTGATCGCGATGCAACCGACGCGGACAGCGTCCGAGTGTACGCCGCGGAGCCGGGGCGCCGCCGCCGTCGAGCTGGTGACAGGCGGACCATTTCCGATCCGCGTCAAGGACGCCCCTGCTAGGGTAGGCAGAGGGACGGGGTCGGGACTGGCCGCGCGCCATTACCGCTGTTACTGGGGCGAATAAGGTCATTTAGTGAGATGGTTATTGGGCTTTAGAGGCACATCGACTAGACTGACTTTTTCTTGCGCACAAGAGTGATGGACCGTCACCCAGAGGGTAGCCATGCCAGTCAGGAAGGCACCACGAGCATACGCTGTACGGTGACAAGTCGCGTCGATAGACGGACAAGTACCTGTGAGGCGCCAGGGGTGAGGTCAGGTGGCGCAGGGACTCTCGTCGGAACAGGCGACAGGCAGTTAGCCCGTTCTGTGTCAAATCAGAATACTGACCGTCTGACAAAGCCAGGGGCCACTGGTCGACAACGGTGTCTTTGCGAATGTTTCGTCAGTATTGCAGCTAGGGCTTCTTCAACATGCTCGTGGTGGATTATCCTTCGCCGCGCCAGCATTGTCGCTAATCTCCGGCCCATCTCCGAAATACTATTGCGGAAATGGCCTCTGTTCTTCCCCGCCGCCCCGATACATGCGGCAGGCCGCGCGCGCCTCGCCTCGCCGCCACCGCGGCCGCTCTGTCGCCGCCGACGGTGCTGACCAGGCACGCTCAGCGTCACCAGCGACGCGTGCGGTGGCGGCAGATGGGCGCGGATCGAGGCGCCGCCCACCGCGGCGCTGGCACGTGGCCAGCGCACGGCTCCGCTGGACACGTCTCCTGGCTGGCCGGCACTCCCTGCGCGCGCTGACGGGGATCACGCTCGGCAACTCCTGCCAGAACTGTGTTCGGCCCTGCCTGAGCCTGGCTCAACTGCCCGTGCACCAGCCAGAAGAGCGGCTGCTAAGATAAGCGCCGCGCAGGGCGGGCTAATCCTGAGGGCTGCTATGCGTCTTTCCGGTTTGGCCAGCACACCGACACAAAGCCAGGGACGCAAGCGTGGTGATTTAGCCAACGCACCGGCACAAAGCCAGGGACGCAAGCGTGGTGATTTAGTCAACGCACCGACGCAAAGCCAGGGACGCAGGCGTGGTGATTTAGTCAACGCACAAACGCAAAGCCAGGGGCGCAAAGCGTGGTGATTTAGTCAACGCACCGACACAAAGCCAGGGACGCAAGCGTGGTGATTTAGCCAACGCACCGACACAAAGCCAGGGACGCAAACGTGGTGATTTAGTCAACGCACCGACGCAAAGCCAGGGACGCGAACGTGGTGATTTAGTCAACGCACCGACGCAAAGCTAGGGACGCAAACGTGGTGATGCATGCCCAAAAACAGAAGAGAATTATGACTGCGGTGATGACTCTCATTTGTCATCATTTGCTCAATACCGGCAGCCTTTTATCCGATTAAAGTGTCCGCCTCGTTCTTCAGCTGTCGTTTAGGTGTAGCTGGCGAGTAGAAAAACGGCGAAAGAGTTTTGAGCATTCTTCTTTCGTGACCAAGAACACCGCGTGGAATCCTGGGTTGGCAATCAATTCAGATACAGCTTTGTCTTTGATCTCTGGGCTCCCTCCTTCACGAGGTACCTCGGTGATGCGTTGTAGCTGCTCAACACTAGGCGAGAGCAGCTGGCTTTGCCTATGGTATCAGACTGATGCAATGGTGCAATATTCTACCTTTTGCGTTAGTTTCACCTGTGATAACGTTCTCCACGTACTAGACGTATCTTTCTGCGCGGTTAAACACATCAAACAGCAAAGCCTTTTGCTTTGCTGTTAAACACAATCCAGTGCGCAGACAAGCATTGCTCGTGCACACGTTGACAACAAAAGAGAAGCGATGCTTAAGCAAGGTGAGATGCCTTGTGAAAATACTATTGCCTTTCGCTTGCCTGATTGATCGTCGTACACAAAGCTCGCTGACCCGCCACTTACACATATGCAAAGAACGTAATTTGTGCCAAAGGAAGACCACGATACTGGACAAGCTGGTGAAATAGCCACCTCAAATGGGGTTTTCAAGCGCACTTTTGCCTCCTCCGTCACACTGAACTAAGAGCTGAGTGTTACCCGGTAGCCGTAGTGAGACAAACATGAGGTTCGTTCTGGATCAGATCCGGCATTGCTGAACGAGCGACGGATGGGCGCTGGGGTTCACATGTGCCTACTGCTGGAGATGCTGCTCTCAACTTACCGCTAATTCCCCAACTTTGCCACCAGCTTCCTAAATTTGAATAAGACGAGGGCTAATTCCATGGGGTTTTCCATCGCGGATGCAGCTGCGGGACACTTCAAACGTGCCCACCCAGCCCCGAGACCTGACTCATTAACCACCGTCAGTCATCAAGGATGCACTGCGGGACACTTCCGGTCAAACGTGCCCACCCAGCTCCGAGATCTGACTCATTAACCACCGTCAGTCATCAAGGATGCACTGCGGGGCACTTCCGGTCAAACGTGTCCACCCGGCCCCGAGACCTGACTCATTAACCACCGTCAGTCATCAAGGATGCACTGCGGGACACTTCCGGTCAAACGTGTCCATCCGGCCCCGAGACCTGACTCATTAACCACCGTCAGTCATCAAGGATGCACTGCGGGACACTTCCGGTCAAACGTGCCCACCCAGCCCCGAGACCTGACGCATAAACCACCGTCAGCCATCAAGGATGTACTGCGGGACACTTCTGGTCAAACGTGCCCACCCAGCCCCGAGACCTGACTCATTAACCACCGTCAGTCATCAAGAATGCACTCAGAGTGTCGCGAGTCACAAATTAATTGGGTTCCTGTAGCAATGGCGAATGCAGCTGTTCGGTCAAAGCAGCCAGAATCGTACAAAGAAGCTCGCGAACGGCTGGCGTTCCACAAACACCCACGACGAATTGAGTTTGGGACGCCCGCCGCCCTACATTTCTGCTGATTGTTCCGGCTTACCCAGAGGCGACCATATAGGACACGAATACGCTGGCGCTCTGCTCAAAGCGCTGGCTGCAGCGGCATTCAGCTTCACATGCAGTGTCCTGCTGTTTTGGGGCACTACGCCCTCCGTACAGCGGTGTCCACGCCAGTGTCTTTTGGGAGCCATGTCTTTGGCAGTGCCGTGGCGCCCGCTCCCAGGGCTGCGTGTCTTCCCTCGTCTCAGAGTCCGCCTGTGCCCACAGCTCTGTGGTGTCACGTGACTCAGCCTGTCGTTGCCCAGGCTCCCTGTCATATTATGTTCAATCTGCGGAATCCTGGAACTATGTCGTCTCGAGCCTCTGCCTGTCGCCTCTCAGAACTCCGTGCCATCTCGTGTTCTGTGCAACAGCCTGTTAGCTTTCTGCTGTCTCGTTTGTCAGCTTTTTAGCTCCCGGAGCTTCCTGTAGTCTCACGTCTCAGTCATCTCCGAGAGCTCCTGTCGTTTCGCGTCTCATTCTACCTAATCACAGAGGCTCTGCGTCTCCTGCTTCAGCCTGTCATCTCCGAGAGCTCCTGTCGTTTCGCGCCTCATTCTACCTAACCACAGAGGCTCTGCGTCTCCTGCTTCAGCCTGTCACCTCCGAGGGCTACGTGTCGTTTCGTGCTTGAGTATGTTCGCACCCACATTTCGCCGCCGTTCCGTGTCTCAGTCCGTCAGCCCTCGGGGCTCCTTGTCGTCTCGCACCTGGCCAGCCTACGGGCGATGAACAGGTTGTGCCGGGCGGAACCGGGCGCTGTTGGATGTGGACCGGCCATGCTCACTACTCGCCGGCTGTTCGGCAGGCGTGCTGGCCACGACAGGCAACTCGGTGGCCCTCTGCATGTTCACCACTATCGCGTCGCTGCGCACCCGCTCCAACCACCTGATGACGAGCCTGGCCATCAGCGACTTGGGCATGACGCTCACTCAGGTGCCGCTGCTGGTGGCCAACAGCTTCAGCCACCGCTGGGTGGCCCCCACTTGGGCGTGCCAGGTGAGCTATACCACCACTGGGTGGCCCCATCTGGGCGTGCCAGATGAGCTGTATCACCGCTGGATGGCCTCCATGCGGGCGTGCCAGGTGACCTATACCACCACTGGGTGACCCCATCTGGGCATGCCAGGTGAGCTATATCGCCACTGGGTGGCCCCCCATCCGGGCGTGCCAGGTGAGCTATACCACCACTGGGTGGCCCCATCTGGGCGTGCCAGGTGAGCTATATCACCGCTGGGTGGCCCCCATCTGGGCGCAGCAGATGAGCTGTAGCCCGGCCGGGTCTTTCCGCGCAGCTGGGTCGAGGCCGGCGAATAGCGCAGCTGAACAGCAGGCGAGCAGGCTTGACCCACCCAACCTGATGTGTCTGGTAGGCTGTAGCCCGGCTGGATGTCCGCGGGGCCGACTTGTCTCTGTGTCCGGTGGGATGTAGCCCGGCTGGATGTCCGCGGGGCCGACTTGTCTCTGTGTCTGGTAGGCTGTAGCCCGGCTGGATGTCCGCGGGGCCGACTTGTCTCTGTGTCCGGTAGGATGTAGCCCGGCTGGATGTCCGCGGGGCCGACTTGTCTCTGTGTCCGGTGGGATGTAGCCCGGCTGGATGTCCGCGGGGCCGACTTGTCTCTGTGTCCGGTGGGATGTAGCCCGGCTGGATGTCCGCGGGGCCGACTTGTCTCTGTGTCCGGTGGGATGTAGCCCGGCTGGATGTCCGCGGGGCCGACTTGTCTCTGTGTCCGGTAGGATGTAGCCCGGCTGGATGTCCGCGGGACCGACGTGTCTCTGCGCGCACCACACTGCCGTAGCGCACGGAACTTTAATCACTCGATCAAATGCGCGAGCAATGCGAGCTTGCGTGGCGGCCTCAGTGCGTCGCCGGCAATCTCAAGCTGGCCAGCGACGGTCTGGCCATTGGTGGTGAGGTGATGAAGCTGACGTCCTGTCTCCACAGGTGTACGGCTTCTGCGGCGGCCTGTTCGGCACCGCGTCCATCATGAGCCTGGCAATGATCGCCTCGGAGCGGAGGTCGGTGCTCGGTAAAGTACCCGGTGAGTGGCGTTCGGTCGTGCGCTGTACGGCGCTGTTTGCCGCAGTTGCCGCAATCGTTGAGAAGATCACATATGTCCTGACAGGCTATGCAGTAATCCTGGCTATAGCGGGTTTGTTCAGCTTGTAATATAAGATAATGAAACAGGATGCTCTCGGACGTTCTGGAGCAGCTAGATCAAAGCTCAATCCCACAGTAAACGGCAGGCTTGTAATGTAACGCTCTCGGCAACACCCAAGTACACGCTGGAGATGTTTCGTCGACCTGCGTTAACCACTTCTCATCCACAGGATACGACCCGAGTGCGCTCGGTTCGCTCGAATATATAATTTGAATCTTTTATTCTGCTTTTTATTTCTAAATATTTATTTTGTTTGCTATTCTTGTTTACTTCTCACCTTTTGCACTTTCTTTCCTCGTCCAAACCCACTCAGCAATATCTCATATGAAGCGAATAATTTCCATAGTAGGTCGCAACGATGGTTATCGAGCGAGGCAGCCTTGCCACTGTGATCATCTGTTTGCAATGATCCTTTCATCCAAAGTGCACTCACATCGAATTAACACAAGCCCGGACGTGGCGGCTCTATGGAACGCCACGCAGAAGCCTTTGATGTCGGTCAACACGCTCTGAACCCCACGCTTGCGTGTTTCTGGTGCATAGCGTGACGTTTGGTGAGCCGCCGTAAATGAAGCAAGAACATTTGCATCCAGCTGGACTCGCAGGAGCCCTGATACCAGGGACCCAGTTCCTGGCTTGATGCGCGTCCCTCCGGCATGTCGACAACATTTTAATGAGAAGATTTCGTGGGTGCCCCAGCACAGCTTTCCACGTCGCCTAACTGGCGATCGCTCCATCTGGCCTCACACATTCCGGCTGACCCCGTGCATTCCGGCTGACCCCGTGCATTCCGGCTGACCCCGTTCATTCGGGCTGACCCCGTGCGTTCCGGCTGACCGCGTACGTTTGCTGTGTTTCAGATTGTGCGCTGGGCCTGCGCGTCACCGGCCCCCGCATCATCTTCGTCTGGGTATTCTCGGCCATATGGATGAGCCTGCCGTTCTTCGGTGTCAGTCGTTTCGTGACGGAGGGCTTTATGACGAGGTGAGGAGAATGGTCAGTGTGGTTGGGGTGGTGGTGGGGGCACGCCCATCTCCCCCGGACTTCCAAATGTTTTGGTCGGCTTTTCCTGACGGGTTTTGGGAGCTAGTGCGCGTCGCTGTCGGCACCGCTCGCCAGGTGTCGGGCTTGTGGGCCGGAGCCCCGATGACATCCCGGCGAGGCCGCAGGTGCGGTTGTGACTTAGGGCCTAACAATAGTCGATCAGCGGGATCAGCTACTACGGCCCCTGCAGTACTTTTCAGTTGCACAAACAACGCCCTTTTGGCTAAAAAAAAGCCATCCGCGCTTGATGGCGTCCTGTCAGCGCGCTACAATAAAATGCTTTGAGGTGATTTTGCCTGCAGTTGGTTTGTTCCAACGGTCCCAGGCTGGTGTCGTCGCCGCGTCACCTTTTGTATGGCGAACCTCTGCGATCACTGTCAGCGGTGCACAAGATGCTGGGAACAGGCCGGGGGCAGGCTGACCCGGGCCGCCATGGCCAATTTCAGCTGACGCAGACTGTTCTCGTAGTCACGTAAAACGCGCGCTTGTGGAAGCGTGTGCTCGGTAACTGTGCTCAGTATGAGACTGAAGAGCTTCTGCCACATATGACCTAATGTAACGAACAGTTGACATAGCAATGTCAGTTTCCACCAAACTCTCCTCGAAGTAGACCTTTACTCTAACCCACGCCACCGGCATCAACGATTTGCAACGCAAACGTCGCCATGTCGACGATGAAACTGCTGGCGTGGTCCATCGGTTACTCAAGCAAGCTTAACGTTAGTTCAGATAAATAGGTTTTTTTACAGCCTCGCCGGAGGATTGAGACGAGGCATTGGTATCACGGATGGAAAAATTGTTCGGGCTATCGCCCTCGTTTGATGTGTTTTTAGGACTTTTATGTGTAAAAATAATTGTTGCTATCCTGTTCGTTTGGTATGTTATTAGGAACAATTTTCGGGCTATTGTCCTCGCCTGGTGTGCTAGTAATAGCTAGTGCTAGTACGCCAGACGACGATGATGATCCGAACAATTATTCCAACAGTTTTTTTACCGGCTTGTGTCGGTAACAAATCAGTCACTGACGCGTCCCTTTTTCTCACAGTTGCACCTTCGACTACATATCAACAGACATCGTGACACGGGTCTACATCGGCCTCTCCATCGTCCTCTGCTACGTGGTGCCACTGTTCGTCATCATCAGGTGCTACTGCGGCATATACAAGATGCTGAGTCAGCTGCCGGAAATAGCTGTTCACACCAAATTTGGTCTGCCAATCAAGGTGAGATGAAGTGATGAAAATTTTGCATGCATCGAGACAAGCAAGCACCTAGCGTTGGTAAAGGACTTTGTAAGTGTAAAAGGTAAAGGAAAAATTTTGCAAGCATCTAACGTTGGTAAAGGGCTTGGCTCGATGGTGAGCATGGCCTTTAAGGTTTCGAATGCTTGTTGTGCGAGCGAGTGTAATCGCAAACGTAGGTTTTAGTATTTCATATCAGCTGGTGCAACTGCTTTGACCTGGTAACTTGTAATTCGGGTACATTTTTTGGCCACTGCACTGCTCCCAATAAACCACTTGTCCAAGACAAGTCTAAAGCATCAAAATTAAAATAAAATGTTCAAACCAAGTGTGAGAGGAATGCCGATATGAAATTCTTGAGAAGCATAACACGCGATGGCACGCAATGACCAAGGAAATATATTTTATGAGCAGGCATCTAACACAAGTGGCTTCTTTTTATCCCTCTCCTCTTCCTTGGAAAGGCCACGGATATGTAATGACCACATGCATTGCAATGGTACGTAGCGGCCTACCGTGTGAGCAGCGCCGCCTCTACGCATTGCAGACGATCCGAGAGAGTCTGCTGCGCAAAAAGGAGACGCAGCTGACCAGGACCATCATGATCCTGGTTGTCGCGTGGTGCCTCTCGTGGACCCCGTACACAGGTCAGTGGAGGCGCCGGGCCGACCGCTCTCCACCCTCTCGCTAAGAACGCAGATCGCCGGCCACCTCTGGACGTGTCTCGCGGCGAGCAGGGGCCGGGCGAAGACTGGTGCGGCACGTGAGGCTTTTTTTGTGGCTGGCGCCAATGTGCAGAACCATCATAAAGTCAGTCGAGTTACCCTATCTGTGAACTTGTACTCACGCACCAGACCCAGTCACAAAACGTTGCAAAGTAGGACCCAGACCACCGGGGAATGAACACGTCCGCAGCAGAACAGTTTTGAATGTTTTGCTTGGTCAAAACTCTCGTGCTGTCGCGAGATGGGGATGGGCCACTGTGACCATAACGCGTATCTTAATAGGTTTGTGCGGTCTTGATTCTTACATTTCCATGATAAAAGGGGGTTTCTAAACTCACCCCACCCAGCCGCATCGAGTGGTGCCCAGTGATCGAGGATTCATGAACAAAACTGAAAAAGGTAGCTGGAGAAGCACACTTCACGCGACGAAAAGTGTAAGGTGAGCCCCTGCTGAAGTTCGGATAACAGGCCTGTACAAGTGGATCGATGGCAGCTTATTGGCAGCCTCCACCAAATGGTCGTGTGGCTGCCCGTGCAATGCGAATAGTGGGGGCCACACTCTGGATTAATGACGTCAAAGGGTTTGCATGCCTGTGTGGCGTGCAATGCCAATAGTGGCAGCCACACTCTGGATTAATGCCATCAAATTGTTTACGTGGTTCTGTGGCTGCCCCGTACAACCCGCATAGAAGCGGCCACACCCTGGATTAAAGACATAGATCGCATCATCGTTAAACACGTTGCCACCCCGGACTAAGACCCCAGCTGTCGCCGTCAGTCGCGCGTTTCAGCGTATCAGGGATACGTAGCAGTGCTCTCTGGACGCATGATGACGTTTGGACGTAACAGACACACGCGACAGTGTTCTCCGGAGACATGACGACATTTGGACGTATCAGAGACACGTGACAGTGTTCTCCGGAGGTATGATGACGTTTGGACGCATCAAAGACACGTGACAGTGTTCTCCGGAGGTATGATGACGTTTGGACGTATCAGAGACACGTGACAGTGTTCTCCGGAGGCATGATGACGTTTGGACGTATCAGAGACACGTGACAGTGTTCTCCGGAGGTATGATGACGTTTGGACGCATCAAAGACACGTGACAGTGTTCTCCGGAGGTATGATGACGTTTGGACGTAACAGAGACACGTGACAGTGTTCTCCGGAGGCATGATGACGTTTGGACGTAACAGAGACACGTGACAGTGTTCTCCGGAGGTATGATGACGTTTGGACGCATCAAAGACACGTGACAGTGTGCTCCGGAGGTATGATGACGTTTGGACGCATCAAAGACACGTGACAGTGTTCTCCGGAGGTATGATGACGTTTGGACGCATCAAAGACACGTGACAGTGTTCTCCGGAGGTATGATGACGTTTGGACGCATCAAAGACACGTGACAGTGTTCTCTGGAGGCATGATGACGTTTGGACGCATCAAAGACACGTGACAGTGTTCTCCGGAGGCATGCTAACGTTTGGATGCATCAGGGACACGTGGCAGTGTGCTCCGGAGGCATGATGACATTTGGACGGGGTCACGCCCGTCTCGCCGCGCTCCATGACGGTGTTCTCTGGCCCCGCAGTTGTGGTGATCTTGGGCATGACGGGCAGTCGCCGGCTGACGCCCTTCGTCTCAGTCAGCTGCGCTATTTTTGCCAAGACCTCGGCCGTGTACAACCCCTTCATCTACGGCCTGGCCCACCAAAAGTTCCGCAAGGTGAGCGCTGACTCGTGAGGCGAGCGTCATCAGTATGCGGCGCCTCCCCCTCCCCTGCCCCTCCGCATCCCAAGCGCTCAGGAATTATGGATTTGAGGCGAGCGTATGCAGGACTGCTATCAGTCCGTATTTTTTACCATAGACGTGGGGCATTGGCATCAACAGCCGGCTTTTTGTTAATCACCCAAGATTCGTACCTCAGGTTCGTGTCCAGTGCGGTAGGGACAGGTTTAAACCGTTGCATTCCGTACGTCAGGTTCGTGTTCAGTGCAGTAGTGGGAGCTTTGGAGCGCTGCATTCCGTTTTATCACTGAACTTCACTGTTAATCACGGCGTTATGCTCTGATTGCCAGGCTCTAAAGAAAAAGTTCGGTTCCTGGTCAAAGGCCTGGACGCCGGCACGTACGTCATCCAACTCCGTGAGGACAAGGCAAGTACCTATGTCTTTGAGAAGGATGCCGGCGTAGTGGTGCGCTCAAGTGGGTAGATTGGCTCAGTCTCCCCAGCTGATTGTTATCAAGTCTGTCGAATGATGTGGCAGTTTCCTCCGAACAATGACCACCGTTGGCCATACTGTGATAAATAATATTTATTGATAATTAAACCCGGCACCAGTTTTGCCAAGCGGCTCACCCAAAAAGGCAATCAAATGGCGTCCCAATCAGGCACGGACGCCCGAGGAGAGCACGCACGACCGGGTGCGCGCTCTCTAAGCAACAGCACCTCGTTTGGTTGGACAGAACGTATATAGCAGATGTCTGGAAACAGAGTGCGTGGCGGGGCGTACTGGCTGAGAGGTTAGCTCCTTCGGGTCCCACTTGGAGGGCCTGGTTTCGAATCCCGAATCCCGCTATGGACACCGAGCACACGAACTGGCCTTGGCAGCCGCTGAGGGTCTATAGAACGACGCCTGTTACTGTGCGCCGCGTCCTCCCCCCCCCCAAAAAAAAACAGTTTGTGATGCTCATCAGGTAGCAAGCGTCAGTTCGCATGGAGCGTGCACTGACACACCGGAAGCATGGTATCACGGTACTCTCGTCCCAGTTCATGTCAGCGAAGCTCACCTATTCTTGGTGTCGCGATGAAGGATGGGGACCTAACGTGATACGATCATGGGTGTAGCGCAGCGACTTATGGTTCACGAGGCTAAAGATGGGGCCTCACGTACCGCGCTACTACCATGGGTGTAGCGCGGTGACTTTTGGTTCACGAGGCTAAAGATGGGGGCCTCACGTGACACTATCATGGGTGTAGCGCTGTGACTTTTGGTTCACCAGGCTAAAGGTGGAGGCCTCACGTGACACTACCATGGGTGTAGAGCGGTGACTTATGGTTCACGAGGCCAAAGATGAGGGCCTCACGTGACACTACCATGGGTGTAGAGCGTTGACTTATGGTTCATGGGACTAAAGATGTGGGGCTTCACATGACACTACCATGGGTGTAGCGCAGTGACTTATGGTTCACGAGGCTTAGGATGGGGGCCTCATGTTACACTACCATGTGTGTAGCGCGGCGACGTATGATTCACGAGGCTAAGGACCCCATGTCAGATACGTGAATCGTTAGATATCCCAGTTATTTACAACTCTATAATGCCCAACAGACTATCTAACCTCAAAAGCTTATCAAAACATATTACATTTACGCATTTGCCGAGTTGCAAAACCTAATGAGGCAGCAAAGCCTGACTGTTCGCTATGGGTAAGCGTGATTTGGACGCAGATTGGGAGCACAGCAGCGTTCGGCAGTCACCTGGCGTTTGGCGTTACCTAATTGGCTGATATTGTCCTGTGGTTGTGATCGTCGCATCACAGCGCGGTGATGCACAGGTGTGGGCCCAGCACAGTTCCGTAAGAAGGCCCCCAGACTTCGGCCAGCACGCCAACATGCGCCAGCGGTTATTATAGATGCAGCTGAAGTAACTCTTGTCGCTTCGGCTGCAAACCTGAAAACGTCTTGTCCTAAAGACCATTTGAAGGACTCATTTGATTTAAAGAGCTGATTTTTCATTTATGGAGAAGAGTGACGGAAGTGGCGCACGCAAGATAGAGACCTAATCATTTTTCACAATTTACTATCGCTCAGTAACTTAGCATCTTCTTGTTTTCAAAGATTTTAGCTTTTCGTAGATCGCCATCGTCTCCAATCTCCGAAACTGAGTGTGCAATGTGTCCGGAGCATTCGCCAGGCGATTTGCAAAATGTCACTTCATCAGCGATGGCCATTAGACTAAGAATGCCCCATGGGGCGCTGTGAACTGAGTGACCTCAGGAGACCTCGGGTGTGTTGAAGACGACACCGTATCACATTAACCAACCAGTCATGGGACGGCACAGCGCGCGCCGCGGGCGCGGCATCGGCACGTGGCAGCCATGTGTCACCTTGCCCGCCTGTGGGGGGGGGGGGGGGGGGGGGGGGGGGGGCGGCGGACCTAGCGCCCTGACTCCGCACCGCCGGCCGGGCTCGAGAGTTCTCCAGCTCGGCACGCGTGCTGATATGGCTTATCTGGAAGCCAGGGCTCGTATTGTTCGGCGCATCAGATCGACTGCGAGCTCTGGCCGGCGCCGTGTTCTGCTCCCGGCGGGATGAACGGACGCTGCCGGCGCTGGGCGAAGCGAAACGAAATTCCAGCAGCAGGCGAGGCGATGCGAAATTTAAGAGGTCGCATATGCGAGCGAAAATCGCCGCTGACGCTGACGACATCAAGTCGGCCGGTGCCTAGACTTAGCCACGCAAGTTCCAGTTCGAGCTCAAAGGGAACGTTCCACATTGAAGATAATGAAACTAACTTCAGATATGAGGATATAAGCACCTTTTTAACAGTTAGTGTATTTTTTAATGGAAAGGGTTGCTCTAGAGAACACAGTTCCCCTGTTTATTGGATGCACTTCTTAATACGTCACTATTTTATTACATCCTCGTACTTTAGATAACATTGATTGCAAGCCCATTGACGGCCGTTATATTTGGAAATCGTGCTCACGAACGTCAGATAGAAGCGGCTCGACAATTATATGTTCCTTGGCCTTGATCGCCGCATGACTAATGGAATAGCAGGATTTGAATGACCTCGTCATGGTGTCAAGGGTGCCTGGGTGGTCCCGAAATAGTCTCCCCGAAAAGTTTGTACGTCTTCGCGGGCGTGTAGCAAGGAGCTAGTGGGGTTTAGGTTTAATAAAGGTGCTGGCGACGGACCTGCGCGTTGTGTATTTTTTGCTCTACGCAAGTCCAGATGAGTTATGGTTTTCTACCATTGTCACGTTTTCGATCGAGAGATACCCACACAACTACACATTCCCTAGGGTGCCACATGGTAGCCGCTGCTGTGATCAGCTCTAAGCTAGAAACTCTGGCTCAGCTGTAACGCGAGGTCGAGACCGCTTTGTAAGCGGCTTGATGCTGGGGGAAAGACGACGGGTCTCTATGTCAACGCGGACGAAACGGGGTCTCAGTTGCCAGCGGAACTACCATTAGTGCGGTCCTGGCTGCCAAACTGACGTCGACAAGAAACATCAAGGATGATGACCCGAGCCCTGATCTTTTCCCCGGTGACGTAATGTTTCGCGGCGTGGGAGCCTAGTGCTCAGGCGCAGGGAGGATGAGGACGAAAGACGCTAAACTGTACTGTTGGGACGGCAGTGGTTTCTAAAAATACGACTATATTCATCACGTCAGCGGAGGTATGGCATAGCTGTCATGCCTGTCAATCTGCAGCTTGAATATGATGCAAAAACACTGGAGGACCGTGACCTTGCAACGTTCAGGAAAAACGGGGCATTTTTTGCAGCTTTCTAGACCAATGATGACCTTTCTAGACCAGCGCCCGTCCATGTCTGGTGATATTGAAGTGCGACTTGCATGCGTATAGTGAAAGTTAATGCTTTGAATAGGCCCATGACTTGTCACCAATAGGCTGGGTGTGCAATAGCGAGTGATGGAAAATTTTCAGGAAATCCTTCCTTTTTTCCTTCATGAAATCAGTGCAATCCAATATAGCTTATATCAGCAGCAGCCACAAATGCGTTTATTAGGGAGCCGATACATTGAAAAATCAAATGCATTATAATTTGGAAATGTGTAGTGGAAATGCATTACACCGATGCAGCTTGAACAGTTTATCGCAGGACTTATTTTTTGACACACATTGTGATGAACTTTGTCTAGATCATGTGCAAATCCTTCTCCCGTATCAGGTTTAAGCTAGTCATCCATATGCCGGGCACGAAGTCAGCAACGCCTGGCGTAAACAACGCCCCGTATGAGCCCCGCCCGCTGCCGAACACGCCGTGTCAGCGTCGTGCCGCCGCGAATGCCAAAAACGGTAACACATGTCAGGAGAAACCCAGCTTCATCACGGGCGGCCCCAGTCTGCGCCGTCGGCGCGCCTCGACAGCGGCGCACAGGCCGCTGTCGCGTCGGGCGGGCGCTGACAGCAGTCGCCCCCGCCGGCAGGGACTCGTCCGGGCTGGAGCTGCGCGTGATGCGCCGCTCGTCGGTAACGATTCGACGAGGTCGCCTGTGTCAGAACTGCTCACCGGCGGTGTCTGGCGCCGGCCCGGCCCGGCCCATCTACGCCAAGAACGCCGAGATCTTCTTCTAGAGCGGCCGAACGCGCGGAGACGCTGCCTGATGACACAGTTCCGCGGACTGAAGCCACGCCTGCACTCATCATACGAGCTGTAGGCAGACGCGTATTCACGTCGGGATGCCGCAGATGTGCGGATTCTGTTCCTGGGACCTCCAGATACGAGCATGAGCTTGTTGAAAGACACCTGAAGACGAAGCGGGGGGCGAAGGTTCCATTAAAAGCGGGTTACGTCCCACTCCAAGTTCACTCCGCGTACAGTCATCATTATGTCGTGGCATGCAACGCGGCATCACTTCCGTGAGTTCTGTGCGTGCCGAGCTGTGAGTGCTTTGCTCAATGTACGCATTGTATTCATGCTCTTTGTACGGCTGTTCACGTGCTGGTTGCACAGAATCATGTACAGTTTTTACATGCCACAGTCACTCCCATGCCATTGCTCATGCCCACAATGCCTACAGGCATGTGGCGGCAACAGGTTATCCGCGGCACACTCTCGTGCATGTTCCAGCTCTACGCGTTCGGAACGCGCCCAGCTTTTGCACCTGCAGTATATCACCACTGATGACCAAGACCAGTTAGGCCTCTAACGTTCCGCTAACGTCCCGCTCCCCCTGTATGGCGGCGGGGTCGTGTCGCCCGGAGTGCCGCAAGGATCCGTCCTTTCCCGCACTCCCAGCGCTGTCTGTGGCTTGGTCCACGTTCGAGATGGAGAGGGCCGCCTCCCACGTGCCGCGCTTATTAAGTCAGCTCCATCCGGAATCTGCCCAACGGGCACTGTGTCCGGCAGTGATGACATCTGTGACCACATTACCAGCCCATCACCGTCCTGTGTCCGGCAGTGATGACATCTGTGGTCGCATTACCAGCCCCGCCACCGTCCTGTGTCTCCGGCAATGATGACATCTGTGGTCGCATTACCAGCCCCGCCACCGTCCTGTGTCTCCGGCAGTGATGACATCTGTGGTCGCATTACCAGCCTCGCCACCGTCCTGTGTCTCCGGCAATGATGACATCTGTGGTCACGTTACCAGCCCCGCCACCGTCCTCTCTCCGGCAGTGATGACATATGTGGTCGCGTTACCAGTCCCGCCACCGGACAATGCGTTGCGTGACAGGGCGTACAAAGGTTCCGCAAAAGCCGCCGGTGCAGCTCCGGTGGGATGCAGATGTTGGCACAGTATAAAGCATGACTGTCCAATGCTTGGTGACGAAGTTCGCGGGCCGCACGACAGTTATGTACCTTTATTCCGGTCATGGTGTCAAACCCTTTGTCATGACTCATTTCTTGTCCTCCCTCGTTCTTTTCAGCGTTTTCAGTGCACCACATATGAAACGTTTCATTAAAGCCAGGGCGCTAGATGATCTAAAGCATTTGTAAAGATTGCATGAAATTGTGTAGCTATAGAGAAATTAAACTGATGGCTTTCAACTTTCAGTAAGTGCTGAATAGTTTTCGTACCACAAAATTGCTTGAAGCACGAAAGTATAGGAGTTTCCACGTTAAAAATAGTCGGGTTTAAATAAACCAGGAATCCTTGATTTAAAGCGCATCCAAAGTTAACTTTCAGAGACCCGACGTATTGAAAGTTGCTTGCTCACATCATAGAAAGTCAGTTTGCCTAAAATTAGGGCCTCAAAGCCTTTCCTGTCTGCATCCATTATTGTACAAAAGGATTAGAAACATGAATGTTTACGCAACATCTCTTACGCCACGTTTCAAAATGTGTGCCTCGCGGGTGTTAGAAACGGTTCGGTACGTGGAAAGTCCAAGTGTTTTAAAATGTTAAAATTTACTCTGTCAGCCCTGACAGCCACGGCATAGCTAATTGTTGAAAAGGTGGGTTTGGGTATGCAATACTTGACGTTAACTGTATGTAAGACATAAATGTTAACATTTGTGCTGTCAGTCTCCATCACCACGGCATAGCTCATTGTTGAAAGCATACGTTTGGGTGTGTGAGACTTGTTCGCGCATAAATTTATCTGGCTAAGTCAGGTGACCTTTGTCTTGTTTTGTACAGTGAATTTATTGGGCCATTTACGTGGCCTGTTAATCGTAGTCACATACACGCTTAATGTCTTATGAATTATGTATTCTTTGGAAAATAGATGCTGCCGGGAACTATATGCCGGTGTCATTGCTGGTGCATTGATGTTTTATCCTAACACACAATTTGTGTGAATATAGATCGCCGTGATTTACCGGCGCAAGTGCGGATGCGCGTGCATACTTCGGCAAGATCATGTCTGACTTGAGTGTCCTACGTCAATGTCAATCGACGCACGTTGATGGATGTTTGTTGCCCGCACCGATGGGAGAAATACACGTCTCTTGACCGCCGTTTCCTCGTGACTCCGACGATATCGACCGAGCTGTTCGAGTGACATCTGCAGCAGTTTTCAAGGAGAGCACTGCTGGCGACCCGACGTTCTGGGGCCGTCGGTGTCACGGTTTCCACCGCTCCGGCGACACTGGCTGCATGCCTGACTGCCGTCACCGCTGTCACGAGAGGCGGTCACGATCTCAGACCAACCGCTGCCGGCTGCTCGATGCAGTAGGTCACGCGGGGACATGCTAGGTCATATGAGGTCATGAAAGGTCAACGACCTGTGTTATCAGCAGCGGAGAGGCTAGATGAAGGAGTGCGATGCGTAGTTACTTCCCCATCGTGTTTGTGAAGCCGATGACGGATAATTTCACGCACCACCTGCCCGTTCTCAGCGTGATACAAACGCATCGTCAAGCACCGAGAGGACTGTGCACAATGCATACAACAGCTATGTGACCTTGAGTACTTGTAGATGAACATCACACCATTTCTGATCACAGAAAAACGTTGAACTGCTCACATAGAGCCGGTAAGCACTTCCAATTTTTTCATCCAGATAGTTTATAAATTTGAACTAAGCTGACCTCAGCCGACCTCCAGGTTTTTAATGGCGACCTGATCTGATCTGAACCTTGTGGGGGAAGAGAAATGGTTGGAGTGGACTCCCCACAGTCTTAACGCTTATTTGCGTATCCTCAATATTCGTCCCGACGTGCTAACATGGCTTTAACTGCATCTATCAGAGCGACCGTTTTTAATTTTCTGACCTCTGCTAATCTCACACTTGACCTAAGGCCAAAAATTTGGTGAGCATCCTTCATGATTTGATGAGATTTTTACCCTGGCATCTTTGTTTTTTCTGATATGGCTTATGGAAAGTCTTCCAGATCCAAGTGATCCAGGAGGAGATATCATTAACCCCGGCCGGGCGCAGGTTACGATGAAAGATGGTTCGTGTAAAATCACTAGCATATTTGTCATTTTAAACGTATGTCCTGTTTAGTCGCTCCCTTATATATATATATATATATATATATATATATATATATATACGCGTATAAAATATCAATATAATATATATATATATATATATATATATATATATATATATATATATATATATATATATATAGAGGACACGTGGACACCGGACCGGGGGCTGATGATTGCCAGATGGTAACAGGGGGCGTTACAGTCGCACGGAAGGGCCAATTTCACGGGACGTCAGTGAAAGCCATCGAGGCTTGCCCGGCGATACCGGCAGTTGACAGTTCGCTTACCGCACGATCGCTCGCTCAGGCGGACGACACCAACGACCGCACGCGGTCTGAACTGCTCACAACTGCTTGCAGGACGCCCCCAAAATGATGCTAGCTGGTGTGTCCATACCATGTCCGAGCGTATTCCCTTACCATTTGGCAGCGCTCAGCGCTAAAAAAAACCTACAGCGCGATCAGATTCCACGTGCGTCAACATCTTAGCAACTCATGCTTGTCCCTGCATTTCCTGCCCTCATTAATTCGTGGACAAAAAAAGAAAACAGCAATATGATGCCCTTTCTCCTGTTGTTCTCGTCTTCATAACATGCAGTTGTACTCAACCATTGGCTGTAGGAGGAAAATGTGGAGGCGTGGGCAGAAGCTGGCGTATCGAATATCCGAATAGTGACGTGTTCCGCACGGTTTGGTTGCAAAAACAAAAAGGGCTGTCTGGGGTCGAAAAAGGCAGACTGGACGGGCTGTCAAAAAAAAAAAAAAATCAGGACTGACTTTTTTACTGCCCGGGTCGGACTAAAGTCACACATTCCGTAGGGGAAGCTACCTCAGTCCACTTTGGTCCGGCAAGTACCACGTTTTAGCCGGCTAATAGTGTTCGATCCAAAAGGTTTTGGACATCCAAAAACAACGAAAGAGGCGACACATGTGCACACTCATCAAGAAAACATGTTAGCATATACAATGCGTGCAGAACAGCAAAGGTGTGTGAAGATAGCGAAAGCTGGAATGAGATCCGCATCATTGCAGTAATGAAAAAAACAATTCCTCTCCCGGCCCAACAAGTCTGACCAGCCTTGTTTGTTTGTGTGTGTGCGTGTGCGTGTGCGTGTGCGTGTGCGTGTGCGTGTGCGTGTGTGTGTATATATATATATATATATATATATATATATATATATATATATATATGTGTGTGTGTGTGTGTGTGTGTGTGTGTGTGTGTGTGTGTGTGTGTGTGTGTGTGTGTGTGTGTGTGTGTGTGTGTGTGTGTGTGTGTGTGTGTGTGGGCGCGCGCGCGCGTGTGTGTGTGTGTGGAGTCGAGTCGGCCTCGTTGCAGCAAAGGATTTGGTCAAACCTTATCCCGGCCCGGCAGACCCAGTGTGACCTTGCAGCAGGTACGTCGTCGATTTTGAGTCGGGGCAGACTTTTTCGGGCGCTCTCCTGGGCACAATGGAGCCTCTTCACAGGGGCCTCCTGAGCCGGGTCATTGATGTATTCAACAATGGAGGGGCGCATGTCTCGTCTAAAAAAAATTTATAAGTGTTAATGAAATGTTGACAGTGCAATATTCCAAACAGGGCCCTTCTGGCCAATAAAGGCGAATTATGATGCAAGAGAGGGCCTGCCTGTCCCATGACAAGATCTCCAGTTCAATAGAATTACATTTTTATATACATGGGAGCCTCCC